TGAAATGGTTGCTATTGAATAAGTCAAGCAAAGAGAAAACGAAAGTTCGAGGAAAAAAATGAAACAGTGAAGAAGTCTCTCAGTTGAAAACCGCTGTATGCACAATTTTTATAATTTTTTGACTGCAAATTCAATTACCATAAACGTAACTTTACAAAATAGCTGAAAGCAAGCATTCTAACAATTTCTAACTAAATTTATGAGCACTTTTTTTCATAAAATACTTGCAGTATATTCCGATTGTTTAAGTGATGTAAATTCAGCTTTCAGTATGTTTTGATTATTAAAATTTATTCATAATAAAATTGATTAAACACATCAAATTATTGACAAAAAAGTTATGGTATAAAGAAGGAATAAAATCAAAATATTTTTTGTGTTTTTTTATTGCAAAAGATGGTAAAATATGCATGGAATTGTTTTGGCAAGCCTCTCACACCTGTGTCTATTTACTCTTGTAAAAAAAATGTAAAATTAATGGTTTGCTCTTATTTGAATTTTTATCTAATAAAATGTATATAAAGAAACAAATCTAAAAATTGAGAAAAAATAAAATAAAAATGAAAAGTAGTCTAAAGAGGAGAAAAACTGAGAATAAGAAAGTAAAATTAAGATAAAGAAACCAGAAGTGTGGAGATTGGAGAATAAAGGTCTGAAAATAAAACAAAATGACGAAAGACTGAATTTAACCAAACTAATACTCAGAGATAATCTTATCATCCAAACTAAGCATTAAAACAAAACCCTTCAAGAATTATAAATTTCAAAGTTTTCCCAATTCTGTTTTTAATTTTTAGAATTTTTACTTCCTTCTTTATTGTATGTGCTTATGATTTATTTAGTGTCAAATAACTAAGTGACAATTTCTCTTTTCAATCAATTTCTTTTTTACAGCAAATGAAAAGTGCTCCTTCAACACATTCTTTCATTAATTTCATCAAATACGTACTAGCCAATAGAAAAGATTGTATTTTTAAAACTTTTTGCAAGAAAATAAGAGCTTAGCAATGTTCACAATTTTTTGTATTGTATATTCGAGTGTGAAATGCACCTAATTCTTCTTCTTCTTTTAAATGATAATTGTTAGTGCGTTTTTAAAATAAAGTTTATCTAAAAATATAATAGATAATTTAGAGAAATAAACAAAAGTTTTGAAAAGTTTTCCACTCTTTTTATTTTCTCATATATTAATTATATTTGTGATAATTTGAAAAGTCTGTCGAGTATTTTTTTTCATGCTGCTTAGCAAGTATCAGAAGAGACTTTTCACGTTTCTATTAAACACTTATCTGATTACTTAAGAGCTTATAGCAAAACTTTGACTGTGCACGAATAAATAACGAAAAAATAATATCAAAAATTTGGTATATTTGTTTAAAGTTGAACTTGTGGCATTTTCCGCAAAATATAAGATTTTGCTCCTCGTTTGATTGCTATTTGATTTTTTCTTCTTAATAATCTATTTGCTGCACAAAAAATAAACAAAATTAAAAATGAAAAACAAAAAAATATTGATATTGATGAAAATTTTCTGCAAAATTACGAATAACAACAAATATAAGATGAAAAATATCTGAAAAAAAATGACTTAATCGTATTTTTTGCAACAAATTATATATTTTATAAAAATGACAAAAATTGTAAGCTCAACAAATTGATCGAAGGATGGGTATAAAATCAACTGTAGACGAAATGAGACATAAGCTTGAACTGAAAGTTAGAAAAAAAAGACTGAAATTCAAGACTATTAATTCCGCAAAATTAATTTGTAAATAAAGTTAGTAATTTATATAATATTGCTGTTTTTTTTCCCTTTTTCTGCGTATAATCGTTATAATTTTTCAGAGCACTGATGCACAACAT